ACGCCCTCGACCTTGCGGTTTGAATCCTGGCTTCTTACAAAATTGACATTCTTCTAACTTCTCATCATCTCCCCAGTAAATCATGCAGTTGTCGATGCAAACGTCTATCATCTCTGAGGGCAACCCAAGACTATATACCAATTTCTGAATCTGATAATAAGATTCAGCAGACACATTGTCTTCTGGCAAATACTCTTTAAACAATTCTTCCCATGCATCCATACAATTTTCAGGTAGATTGTGATCGGTTTTAATACTCATCATTCTAGCAGACAACGCCAATTTAGAAAGACCTTCTCTACAACCACTGTAAATTGGCTCATTCGCAACATTTAACATTTCATAAAAAAATTTTGCATCTAAGTTAGGTTCTTCAACTTCATCATCATCATGAGTTACAAATGCATCACCTACCATATCATGAACCATATCAAAATCTACCATTTGTTCCTCTTGGTGATGATAGCTATTTTCATTACGCAAATGATCAACCGGTTCAACCTGAAAATTGCTATTATTACTGCTACCTTCATTCCTACAACTAGCATCGTCTTCTCCATGTTGATACCAAATATAATAATATGGCATAAAACCTCTATTTATTATTTGCTTCCAAACATTTTCACGATGGCCTAATTTTGTATTGCAGCATTTCCGACAAGGACAGAACATCTTACCACTTTCCTGCGTGAGTGGTGTAGAATATGCTTGATGCATAAACGTCTCCAACCCTTCGAGATATTCTTTTGTCACCCTCCCGTTATCATCTCTGTGTGAATACATCCACTTCCGCAACTCGGAAATATTTCCCGGACCGGACATTTTTTTGTGTTTGATCAAGCTTATAGCTAATTATTTTTTGGTGTGTTTCAAATGAATCACAATTGTGGTATTTATAGAAATTTTCGAATCTGAGCATTTACTAGGAATTGCTAGGAAATGTAGGTACAAAACACGTTTTTGATTTAAATTACTACGGACTTACGAGGAAATGTACTTTTGCCACGTAATTTCCTCGTAACCTTACTACGGTGTTACGAGGAAATATTTTTCTCGTACCTGTACGAGGACCTTACGAGGAAAACTTGTTTCCTCGTAAAGTCAAAGTAAGTTCGTAGTAAATTTACGAGGAATTATTTTCCTAGTAAAATTTTCTAGTAACTTCTTAGTTTTCTTGTAGTGTAAGTTCACCTCGAGCTTCTCGGTCCATTCGACTGATTTCAATCCTTTCGGTGAATTTTTGACCCTCGATCACTCCCAAATATTTTTCTGCTCCCGTTCCGATGATCTGAATATTTTTAATAAACTCCTAAATAATTCTGAACTTGATGGAAAATATTTCCCGAGCCTGATGCTTCCTTGAAAAATTCCATAATACCGAAATTAGGTTTTGTACCCGATTTCGGGTTTTCCCCGTCGTGCTTGATCCACAAAAAAACAGCATAATATCTAAATCCCTGAGCTGACAATACAGGTGCAGGCCCCCAAATGTCAGAATGTACACGCTCAAGAGGACTGGTAGCTACAAAGGTAAAACTACTAAACGGTAAACGAGTAGACTTTCCCAGCTGACACGCCTCACAGAGATGTAGACTGGGTTTATTGATAACTACGGCTTTATTGCTGGAGAGTCTTTAGAGAAATTCTTGATGAGGATGGCCTAGCCTCATGTGCCAAACATCACCACTTGCAGCTTGCTGTCTGTGAGAATAGTAAGCCATGAACTTCGGATTCTCCAAGACATAAAGATCTTTCTGTCTAGTTCCTTTGGTTAGAAGCTGCCTTGTATGTTTGTCCTTCACAACAACACTATTAGCATCGAACTCAATGGAACAAGGGTAATCAGCCCTAAGTTTTGAGACAGAAAGAAAAGATTTAGTGATACTGGGACACACAAGAACATCGTTTAAAGGAATATTACCTTGAAGACTAGGCAAAACCGCTGAACCAATCTGACTTATAGGTAAGAGGTCACCGTTAGCAACCAGAACCAAATCATTACCAGAATATGCCTGAGATGTTTGGAGCTGATATGGATCGTTCGTAATGTGGGCTGTGGCACCTGAGTCAGCATACCAGTCACTGTCCTAATGATGCTTCTATTCTGACGTACGCATAGCAGCAAGAGCGTTGTGAAGCTCCTCAGCCTGATAAGAGTGATCAAAACGTTTGTAGCAACGATACGCAGCATGACCAAACTTATTACATATCTGGCACGTTGGACGTTTGTCAGCACCTGAGGAAGCTGCACGTCCAGAACCTTGGCTTATTTGCTGAGGAAAGCCGCGAACTTGTGTTGAGTAATGGCCTCTGCCACGGTAACCTCCACGGTGTTGACCACGACCACGCTGAGAGTATTCTCCTATGTTGGAATAGAAAGCCTGGTGCATAGCCGTGTCAATAGGAGATTCATAAGCTGAGAGATTTTCACTGAACCCTATTAGCTTAAACACCACATCTTCAAAGTTTGGGCCGGGGAAAACATCCATCGAATGTTCAATAACCGTTGAGATGGACTCGTATTCCTTCCCAAGACCACGTAACACGCCATAGGTTTTCTCTTGTTCAGACAGAGGAGTGCCGATTGAGGACAGTTGGTCGTAGAGAGACTTGATCTCAGAGAGGTACTCAGTGAGAGAACGAGACCCCTTCTTTTTGCTCTGGATTCTGCTTTGTAGATCTAGCTTTCGGGTGGGAGAGATTCAGTTGTACTTTTGAGCCAGAAAATTCCAGAGTTCTTGAGAAGAACGAAGACCGTAGACGCTTTTGATAGCTTCTTCCGAGAGAGATCCAACCAGCCATGCCATAACACGTTGATCTGTGCGAAACCACTTGGCGTAGGCTAGGTTTGGTGTCTCTGTGACTCTATCTCCATCACGAACGGTAAGAATCTGTGGTGGTTGAGGAATCTCTCCGGTAACGTGACCAAAAAGGAACTGAGAGTTGAGAAATTGCTCAAACTGGAATTTCCAAGACAAGTAGTTTGAGTCATTGAGCTTGAGTGTCACACAATGTGTGATTGTTAATGGAGAAGAAACTGGGTCATCGTCCATGGCTCTGATACCATAAAGACACGATGAAACCAGAAGATAATGAAGAAGATAATTCTTAATATTCAAGACTTTTCTGCTTAGTTTCAACGATTACAAGAGAGGTCATATACAGAGAGATTGAGTGCTTGAACAGAGACAAGATAAGAGACAGCTCAGCAGACGACAGCACACAATCCTAAGGTCTCATAACGGTGTGATAGCTGTAAATCCTTAGCTGTGAATCTCGTACAATGACCACCTTTTGCTGTTGATCTGATCCTCTATTACCGTTGAGAGAGCTTGAGGTGGGCCTGGATGTCTCTTGGGATTTGACAGAAGTGTTTGCAGCCTTTGGGCTTATAGAGTAAGTATCGATGAGATTTGGCACCAATTCCAATTTATATATGAGGAGAAAAAGAAGGAGGTAGAACAAAACAATAAAGAAGAGATTAAGGACCGTCACTGATTGATGAAGAGGAGCTGGAGGTAACAGTGTACTAGAGTTACGAAAGAACTGGTGAAAACGAAGTGGAAAAGTCGTGGAGACCCAACTCTCAAGAGGAGATTGGGGATATGCAAGAACATGTTTCATATGGGCCGTAAGAAAAAAAAATATTTTGTAGTTACAGCCCACATAGAAAGTCCAATTAAATTTTCAGTCGACGAAAGTGTGTGATGCGGCAGTTTACTCTTTTCTGATTGGTTGATTATTTTTAAGGTTGTGGCATGGCTCTCCTTCGAGCATATTCTCCTTTTAATATTGTTTGATTAAGTAATGAAAAAGGTATAGTGTTTCGTCCTTCACCTTGAGCTCTCGTTTGTTAAGTTTCTCCCCATTTCTAAGAGCAATATCGTTGTCTTTTATAGGAGTTGAAATTGTTATACGTGCTCCATTATTTTAGCTAGCCTTGGGAAAAAAATTCGGAACCAAAAAATCGAACTGGAACCGAACCAAAATATCTGAAAATCGAAACCGGACCAAAAATTTTAAATATCTGAATGGTTCCTATATTTATATACCCGAAAAACCGAACCGGAATCAGAACGGAATCGAGAACCGAACGGGTATCCGAATATCTGAAAAAACAAGTTAAAGTTTTTAGTTAAGATAAAATGACATCAAGCCAACCTGAACCCATGTTGGATATACAAAGAGTAAGTACATTTTTACCATCAGACCACATTATGTTTTATTTATTCTCTCATATTATAAATATGTATAATAATTCTATATTATAATACGATAAATATTTATAGAATTAACACTTTATTGATTCGAACTTTTGTTAGATTAACGAATATGTAAGCGTGTAAACACTAAACCATTTAAATTAACATATTAACTAATATATTTTGTTTATATATATTTGATTTATATATTAAATGGGTATCCGGAAACGAACCGAAACCAAACTGAAACCGAACCAAATATCCAAATGTCCAGACCTAATTTTAGCTTTGATTCCTTCTCTTATTTGAATGAGACTGACATTATAGGAAGTAGATAACTAACATATTTGACCAAATCAACACCCAATATTAATAAGAGGGATTTGGTATAAATCCGGGTCTAACACCATCTATGTTTCTAAACAACTCTAATGTGTACTTTAGTTTTAATATTTTAGATGTATCAAACCGACCAAACAAATCGGTGAGGCAGTCCAGCCGGTTAAAGTTGACTAGTGACGGGTTCTGGTCCTTCTGGATCATAGATGGTCTAAAACAGCCGGTTTAATACCAGCCCGATATTTTGGGATATTTCCCGTTCTGTTTTTTTTTTTAATCCGAAATTGGGGATCAACCGGGTCGGGTACAAATCTGATTAAGGGGGTTGGAACGAAAGGCCAATCAATCAAAAATTGGTTCGATAGGGGACGAGAGTTTCTTACGGCCATTCAAACTTAACTTCAACCAAAGGCGCTTGCTTACTTTATCTATTCCTTTCCTTGTTCTTTTTCACCATAGCGAAAAATATCGGATAACGTCTTCCTCAATGGACGCAGCACTCTCCCCTCTCAAACCTCCATACCCTATTCAATCCAAGAGACCTCCACAGCCTCAATCCTCTAACCACTCCCTCAAATTCAGCTCCGCCACACTCCACTTACCTCCTCCTTCTCCTCACCCCTCTTTCCCTCTCGACTCCCTTCTCCACCACCTCGTCCACCTCTCTTCCTCTCCCCGACATGCCAATTCACCCGCCGCAGCTCGTTCCCTCTCTCTCGATGTGAAACCCATCTCGAGTCCCGTTCTGGGTATCAACGGGTCTCTGAAGCTACTCTGTAAGAAGGAGACTTTGCTGCTCAACTCCATTTTGGAACAGCCTTTGTCTGAATTGAGCAGCTTCTTCGATTCAGTGAAACCCGAGCTGATTAGGACAGATGTGTTCAGTCTTGTCAAGGCTTTAGATGACTCCGGGAACTGGGAGAGAGCGGTTTCGTTGTTCGAATGGTTAGTTTCAGCTTCGAATTCAGGTGCTTTGAAGCTTGATCATCATGTTATTGAGATCTTAGTTAGGATCTTCGGTAGAGAGTCTCAGTACTCTGATGCAGCTAAGCTGCTCGATAAAATTCCTCTACAAGAATACTTGCTTGATGTTCGTGCTTACACGACTATCCTCTATGCTTATTCACGGACTGGGAAGTATGAAAGAGCGATCAATCTGTTTGAGAGGATGAAAGAGGTGGGACCTTCACCTACTCTGGTGACTTACAATGTGGCTCTCGATGTTTACGGGAAAATGGGAAGGTCTTGGAGCAAGATTCTAGTGGTTTTAGATGAAATGAGAAGCAAAGGGATGAAGTTTGATGAGTTTACTTGTAGCACTGTGTTGTCCGCTTGTGCAAGAGAGGGTTTGTTAAGAGAAGCCAAGGAGTTTTTCGCTGAGCTTAAGTCTGGTGGATATGAGCCTGGGACTGTAACTTACAATGCCTTGTTGCAAGTTTATGGTAAAGCAGGGGTTTATACAGAAGCGCTTAAGATTTTGAAAGAGATGGAGGAGAACAAGTGTCCTGCAGATTCTGTCACGTACAATGAGCTTGTTGCAGCTTATGTTAGAGCTGGTTTTAGCAAGGAAGCTGCCGGTGTCATTGAGATGATGACGCAGAAGGGTGTAATGCCGAACGCAATCACTTACACTACAGTGATAGATGCTTACGGAAAGTCGGGGAAGGAGGAAGAGGCTTTGAAGCTGTTTTACAGTATGAAGAGAGCTGGTTGTGTTCCGAACACTTGCACCTACAACGCAGTGCTTAGTATGCTGGGGAAGAAGTCGAGATCTAATGAGATGATAAAGATGTTATGTGAGATGAAGTCTAATGGATGTTCTCCGAATAAGGTCACTTGGAACACCATGCTTGCTCTGTGTGGGAATAAAGGTATGGATAAGTATGTGAACCGAGTGTTCCGTGAAATGAAGAGCTGCGGTTTTGAACCTGGTAGGGACACATTCAACACGTTGATTAGTGCTTACGGGAGATGCGGTTCGGAGGTTGATGCGTCGAAAATGTTTGGTGAGATGACAAGAGCAGGTTTCAACGCTTGTGTCACGACGTACAACGCGTTGCTTAATGCCTTGGCTAGACAAGGGGACTGGAGGTCGGGAGAGAATGTGATTTCCGACATGAAAAGTAAAGGTTTCAAACCAACCGAAAAATCTTACTCATTGATGCTTCAGTGCTATGCTAAGGGAGGGAACGTTCTAGGGATAGAGAGAATCGAGAAGGAGATAGTTGAGGGCCACATATTCCCGAGCTGGATGCTTTTGAGAACTTTGCTTCTCGCAAACTCTAAATGCAGAGCACTAGCGGGGATGGAGAGATCATTCACGTTGTTTAAAAAGCACGGATACAAACCCGACTTGGCGATTTTCAACTCGATGCTCTCCATCTTCACAAGGAACAACATGTATGACCAAGCACACGAGATTCTCCAATCTATCCGCGAGCACGAGCTAACCCCGGATATTGTTACCTACAACAGCCTCATGGACATGTATGTAAGAAGAGGAGAGTGTTGGAAAGCAGAAGAAATCCTCAAGAGTCTGGAGAAATCCAAGCTAACACCACCAGACCTGGTCTCTTACAACACGGTGATAAAAGGTTTCTGCAGGAAGGGGTTGATGCAAGAAGCGGTTAGGATGCTGTCTGAGATGACAGAGCGTGGAATAAGACCGTGCATTTTCACTTACAACACGTTTGTTTCGGGTTACACGGCGATGGGGATGTTTGGAGAGATAGAGGATGTGATTGAGTGTATGGCGAAGAATAAGTGCAGACCAAATGAGTTGACTTATAAAATGGTTGTGGATGGTTACTGCAGAGGAGGGAGGTATAGTGAAGCTATGGAGTTTGTATCCAAGATTAAAACCCTTGATGCTTACTTTGACGATCAGTCCATCCAGCGGCTAGCTGTACGAGTACGTGAGAATTTAGAATCCTGAATCAAGTGATATTTTTTTCCTTTGTAGATTTGTGAGTTTTTGTATTAAAATTTACATTTCATTTGTATTTTTACTTGAAATAAAATAAGCAACTTTGTTCATGATGATGAAAGGAATATAGATAAATTGAGAGCGTTTGGAATTTCCTGCCTTAATATCCGGTTTGATTTGCACCAAAAAAAAAGTATATCCGGTTTGATCCAATCGGAAGAACCATACCCCATAGGCCTGAGAATTTTAATCGGTGCCCGCCTGTTCCGTTTAATATTTATTAGGTGACCCGGCCCGCACCTTGTGCGGACATAAATATGTTCAAAAATTTATTATAATAGTATATCGGTTTAGAAGTAACGGACTACACCATGTTTTGGAGAAACCCTACACTATGGAGAAAAGTCGGTACTCAATATTTGACATTGTATGAGAGGGTATAAAATAACGCACATGGTGCGAGCAGTTATTGTGTATATGTATAATTGTAAAGTCTCAAGATAATTAGTGTGTTTTACGAAAATATTTTCATTCGTCATCTAATGGATTTGCTAAGACTTCTTATAAAAAGAATTGACAGTTTTAGAAGTAACAGATTTTATATTATCCTGTGTAATTAGAATTATATTATATATATGTTGTATTTTTTATTTTTAGGTGAATAATAGTATTATGTTTAATTTTCAACCTTATTTCTTATTTCTGTACGTATATTAAAAGAAAATATAATAAATTTCAAAATAAGCTCCCAAAATAAAAATAAAATTATTATCCATAAATAATATAAATTTATGAAGTACAAAATCTCGATAAAGGTGTAGCAAATCCATTAGACACCTGCAAAAAAATATTTTAGTTTGTAAGCCCTAATACCGGATAAATTTCTGTGATAGATATAAAATAATTTCTGAATTTAGTGTATCTGTAAATAATATTAAATTCCATACCGTCATAGAAATAGGCAAAATCATGGATGGTAATCAAATAAAATCTCTCTTCTACCTCATCAGTACCCATCTTCCAATACCTTGTCAAAAAATAATATAAAAGTTTATATATCAAAACGGAAATTATTTGAAAAAGTATATTAAAATCACGTACCCTGACTACAGAATATTTTGGAAAACTTGTTTGTAGACAACATTCAATGTTTTGGTCTGCTGCTTCGATTCTTTACCAGTTATTAGGATTTTTAATCTCGATCTCGACTTAACTCTTGAAAGTGCTACGTAAAGCTGACCATGAGAGAATACTGACCTAGGCAGGAACAAACCAACACTTTCCAGAGTCTGACCTTGACTTTTGTTGATGGTCATCGCGAATGCCAATGTAACAGGAAACTGTCTTCGACGCATTCTGAAGGGAAACTTTGTGTCAGGTGGTGTGACAAACATTCTAGAGATCCAAACCTTGTCACCCGCAATATTGTTTCCGGTTATAATTCTACCTTCTATCATATGGGACAGTAACTGAGTAACAATTAGCCTAGTACCATTACATAAGCCATCAGCAACATCAATGTTACGGAGACACATAATAAGAGCACCCACCTTGAGCTTCAAACAATGTCTAGGCAGTCCAGCCACTTTAACACTATTCAAAAACTCTACAGGATATACTACAGTTTCTTCTATGTCAACATCGGATGGGAGAATACTGTCTGAGCTAAGGTAAACCTTCTCTTGACCTGAAATTATATGTAAATCCTTTTCTTTAGTGACCTCTTATTGGTAGTGAAACATAAGAGTAAATGATTGAACATGTTACCTGGCAACTGCGAGAGCATGTAATCATTTATTTTATCCACTTCATCATTAGTGGGAGTAAGAATGGCTCGATGTCTATATAAATCCTTATCTGTTGAGGTTTGAAAAGCTTGTCCATAAATCTCTTTTGCCATAGTATCAATAGGATCTTCTCCATTATTTTTAATCAGCAAATCAGAAGGGATGTCAATCTCAACTTTACCGTCGTTAGGCAAATTTATTTTTCCATCTCCAATATTCAAAATCCAGTTTGAGAAGGATTGAAGCTCTTTTGCTGCATCATCAGTAAGACCAGCGAGCAATCTCATGTTTTTTGTTAGCTTCAAAACTTTGCAGTGCTCCCAAAGATACGACGAATTAAGAGCCGCCAAAACCGTCTCTGCTCTACCACCCCCAGGTATAACCGGTAAAATCTGTCTAAAATCTTCACCAAAAACAATAACTTTACCTCCAAAAGGTTTGTCTTCAGAAGATCTTATAATATCACGCATACTGCGACCCAACGTCTCGAAACAGTGTCTGCTCATCATAGGCGCCTCATCCCATACAATTAACTTTGCCGCTTTAACTAATTCTGCACGATCTGATCATAGTTCCATTTTTTTGCAGGTACTGAATTCGTCAGCATCTATCGGAATACCAAATCTGGAATGTGCGGTTCTACCTCCTTCCAACAACAATGCAGCAATTCCACTGGATGCGTTATTAAAACAATCATACCTCTAGATCGGATCGCTGATGAGAGTGCTCTGTATACGAAAGTTTTTCCTGTGCCTCCATAACCATAAAGAAAGAACACTCCACCGCTATCATTTAAAACTGCATCCAGAATCTGGTTATATACTACTCTTTGCTCATCTGTTATCATCGCCATAAGTCTTTCATTTTCCTTTAGCTGATCTTCCACAACATATTTAAGCTCATCATCTATAAGGCGATTGCCGTTGTAACAGGCAAAATCTTCTGGCTTTGGCATATGAGGCCATTTTTTGAGGCTACGACCATTGCTGAGCAAATGATTTTCGATCTCAGTAAGAGCAATATTTTTGATCTGATCTACGCTCAAGATCATATCTGCAAGTTTTATAGTTTTATTAGATCACATAGAGAGTTTCAAATAAGTAAATTAGTAAGACAAAACTGACCAGGTCGTCCAGTTTCTCGGCGCTTCTTGTAAAGGATATCTTCGGTGAGATACTCCCAAGTAGCTTCCCACACAACATGAGGCTGAGATAACGTTTTGGATACCAACAT